ATATATCACCATTAAGTGTATGTTGAAGTACAAGACTTTGTTCACTATCACTTAAAACAATACCAAGTTCAGCTGATATCCATAAACATGTTATTTCTCTATCATGACCAGTTAAAATTGCTGCTGGTGATGGATTCATTTCTATATAAATACAAAAAAATCTATATATATATATATTGTTCAGTGTCTGTCTGACGTCTCTGTGCTCAGGTCCAAGGTTAAAGGTTAAAAGTCAAATAGTTCTATAAGCGGAAGACCTTAAGGGCTATTATATAGGGAAATCCATAGGTCCTCAAGGGCTATTATATGGTATATCTATAGGACATGAAGAGCTATAATATAGGAATAGCCACAGATTTTCAAGAGACTAAGGCAATAAGGAATACAAAGTTATAAGGTCGAAGGCTACATGGACTATAAAAATACGTGCGATATAAGAGTATGAGACCGTAGGGCTATCTATCTACATACATAATATTGAATGTCTGTATGTCTGTTCCTGAATGAAAAGTTAAACGTCTCAAGTTATACATGAAAAAAGAAAACAACTGTGCAGTGTATGCATGGGCTCTCGCTAGTTATAATACATTGATTTTCTTTTTTAAATTTAATTATAACCTTGATTTGGATATTCACGATCAACTATTGCACCTTTTGTATCATTCCATATCCAAATACAAACTGTACAATCACGTGAACCAGTTGCAAGAAAACAATTTCCAGCAATAGTTACTTCTGAACGACATACACATGTAACAATATCAAAATGACCATAGAGTACTTGTGTAATTTTAGCTATATCAGTATTTTGTACACGAAAAATTTTATCCCAATAACCAGTTGATATTATATAACGATTATCAGCAGTAACAACAAAACTTTGATGTCGTTGTTGAATACGTTCATCAAAATTATCATCCAAATGACGACGATTTAAATTTATATTTGATACTAAAAAAAAGATATTCTTATTGTTATTTTATTTTTAAATATTGAATAACTATTATTCAAATTAATATTTATAAAAAGTTTAACTATAGAATTAATCTACCTAATATTGAATCCATGCTTAATGGTAATTGTGTTTGTTGATGTATTGATGTTTGTGATGATTCAGAATAAGTTTGTGTTGGTGTACTAGCATTTGGATGATATTTATTTATAGAAAAATCATGTTTATTACTAATTGTAATAATAGCTTGTATAGAAAGTGTTGGATTTGTATTAGCAGAAACATGTTTAATAGATGCATTTGATGAAAATTTCATTATCATTGATACGTCTTCTGGTGTACTAAAATATTTAAATTATTTTTTCTTTCATTGAGAAAAAAAAATACTTACACATTATACATCATTGGAGTCTAAAATAGACAAAAAAAGAATTATTAAAAAACATAAAGTGTTTGTTTCGTCTTACTAAATTCATTGCTGAATTTCTTGGTGGATGTGGTTCAGTTAAAAGTTGTGCTGGTGCTTGATCAAAATTTCTTATTCGTGTTTCAATAGCAGCACGATCTATTGGATTTGTTATTGAATCAAGATTAACAGCACGAACAGCTTCAGATCCTAAAAAAAAACAAGAAATATCATACATTTAAATAATATAAAAATTGTTATTAATCTTCTATAAATCAACCTCTTTATTTATAACCAAAAATTAAATCAATCCAATAATGTAAATGACATGAAACAAGTTCAGATTCTAATACCTAATGATTACAATTTGTTAACATTTCATGTAGAGAAAAAAATTCAGAAATTAATTCTTTAACATCAGATGAATCACGTTGACAATTTTGCCATGATAATGGTATTGAATGAAATAATCGACTAGCATGAACAAATTTTCCTTCTTGTAAACTTAAATAAAATGTTGTGAATGGTTCCTTAAAAAAAATGAAGTAATATTATTGAATTTATTAAATAGAATTATATTCGAACTAACAAGTCAAATAAGCCAACCAAGTGTAAATGCATCTGTTGAATAATGTGTACCATAATGAAATGGTGGCATTATATCCGATTCCCAATTATTATAACATTCAATAAAAAAATGATTTTCTTATAGGATTTAATGTACCAACAGGCTAAAAACAAGAAAAAATTAAGAATAAATGAAAAACAAAATAATCGAAATTATACTTTTGATAAATCTCGATAAGTTGATAGAGAATTTTAAACAAGTTTTTCACTTTCATATTCAGCTATAACCCATGGAACTATTGGATATTGATTTAAATCTTGATATGTTCGACCTAAATAAAAGAAAATTGTTTTTTTTTTTTTTAATAAATTTATATACAATCTTTGTTTGTTCAACTATACCTGCAATCGTATTATAAGATACATAAGATATTCAAAATTTGAAATTTCTCGTCTTTGCCATCGTTGTGCCATATTTGCTGAACGAAATAATTGTTTTGGTGATGCTAATGATGTTCGCCTAAATAAAATTCAAAATAACATGAATAAGATAATTTACTAACCGTTATTGTGGT